GAGAGAGAGAGAGAATTTTTTTTTAATATTTATTTTTTAGTTCTCGGCGGACACAACATCTTTGTTGGTATGTGGTGCTGAGGATCGAACCCGGGCCGCACGCATGCCAGGCGAGCGCACTACCGCTGAGCCACATCTCCAGCCCCAGACATATTTTTAAAAGTACACTCATTCCTTGGCTCTTAGAGCCCTTACCAAGCATGGTGTGTGAGATGGGGAAGGTGATGGTGGGCTGGCCTGTCATCCTCCAGCGGCTACAGAGGTAGGAAAGATCTGTTCTGAGCATTTCCACTATCATCTTGTTGTCCAGAGCCAGGTAGAACTGTTGCTGGTCTATAAACTGAGGGAAAAAAATAATACTTCAGAACAATTTGGTCTCGTAACTATGAAATAATATTTTAAAAATACATATTCAGAAGGCTATATGTCATTGAAGCAATGATATTCCCAAATTTAATGCCTAATAAGTCCCGAACAAAGTATGTGGTGGTCAATCAGCAAATACAAGTTTCTTTTTTTTTAAAGAAAGAGGAGAGGGAGGGAGGGAGGGAGGGAGGGAGGGAGGGAGAGAGAGAGAGAGAGAGAGAGAGAGAGAGAGAGGGAGAGAGAGAGAGGGAATTTTTTTTAATATTTATTTTTCAGTTCTCAGCAGACACAACATCTTTGTATGTGGTGCACCGCACGCATGCCAGGCGAGCGCGCTACCACTTGAGCCACATCCCCAGCCCAGTTTCTGACACTTTTAAAGTGCTCCTGTTTAGAAAGTTTTTTCAAATATATATTTTTATTTAAACCTATAACCACCTGAAAAGTGTTTTTCTTTCTTTAATAAATACAAAATAAAGCCAAGAAACAATATATGGAATAGCAAAGTCATATGGCTAGCAAATCACAAATTCAGAAACAGTGCAGGATCCTCTACTTTTGTGTCTGTATGCATCTCAGCTATACTATTTCACAAGATGAGAAATGGGAAGTCTATACTTTCCAGAAAAATTTTCTCCTCCCCAGACATGCAACTAGGGCTTACTATTGTGATGTAGTTAATAAACATCATGCTAACAATATATATATATATATATACTCACAGCTTAACAATATTGATATTTTTGTTTAGAAGATTAAAATTTCCATGCACATAAAAAGATCCCTCCCCCAAATAAAGGAAACACATTAATTTAGTAGCTGAATAAAAAACATTGTATTTTATTTATAAAGGACAAATACAACCTTATTTTAACTTTTAAAAATAAGGGGAACTTTGCAAGTAACCTTTGTAAAATCCTGCAACACCCAGGACTACTCTTGGTAATCACAATCACTTGGATCACTTGGCATAACCATGGTGCAAGTTTGATTTAGTTAAACTCAACAAATATTTATCAAGCAATTTAATATATGCAAGGCCTTGTGGAACTCTTTTGATACTTATCCCAGTTCCAGTAAATACTTTATTTCTGCAATGTTTGTTTCTTTTTCAACATTTTATTAGTTGTTGATGAACCTTTATTTTATTTATTTATTTACATGTTGTGCTGAGAATTGAACCCAGTGCCTCAGGTGCTGGGCCAGCACTCTACAACTGAAGCACAACCCCATATCCATTGTTTCTTTCTTAATTTCTATTCATCTCAATGCACATTCCCACTTATTTCACCCACCTGGGGAGTGAAAGTAAAGATAGTTTTCCGAATGTCATAGAGTTTTGAAGTTCCGAGTACTCCCATGAGTCTATAGGGTCGTCCGCTGAGTTTCATTCTACTGTTGCATCCTGACATAAAATTAAGAAATGGTCAAGATATTTCAGTGCACAAATTAAAGCAGCAAGCCTGTTTAAAAACACACATCTTTGAGTTGAAGATGTCTTCCTTTTACAATTTAGCATTCTGAAATCAAAATTAATCTCATAATTGATGTTTATGTCAAATATATTCAAATTTCTTTAGTCCTCCAAAAGGCTGTCATTAAATCAATACTTCTTACAAAGAGGAAATTATTAAATTTTTCATGCAGATTTTCCTGTATAACACAGGATAATACTATACACATTACTCTTAAATTTCTTTCCCCCAAAATACATAGTGAATATATTGTCATGTCAGTACTGACAAAATTTCCAATACTTTTTTATTTTTTGAACTTTTTTTTTTGAGTCTTTGATATTTGCCCTTACTTTATCCTAAGTACTATACTACAAAAATATGCTACAGTTTAGAGTTCATTTATTCTTTGGAGGCCAGTATCAAAGAATTGTCAATGTCTTGATCATATTCCAGGGCCTGCTCAGTAAATCACACAATTTACCTGAATGTGGTTTTGCAACTAGATTTAGCCACTTCTCCCTTCTTTTTCATTACAGTAAAGTATACATAGCATAAAATTTATAATTTTAATAATTTTTGTTGAACTGGGGATCAAAAGCAGGGGATCTCTACCCCTGAGCTACATCTCCAGCCTTCTTTTATCTTTATTTTAAGACAGGGTCTTACTAAATTGCTAACATTGGCCTCAACTTCCCATGCAGATGGGATTATACACAAGCACCACTGCACCCAGCCCATTTTAATATTTAAATGTACAATTCAGTGGCATTAAATATATTAACATAATTGTTAACTAACTTCCATCTCTAGAACTTTTCATCTTCCCAAACTGAAATTCTATACCCATTAAACAGTAACTTCTCATGTCCTCTTCCTCCCAAGCTCTGAGAACTACCATTCTACCATGTGTTCATGAATTTCAATATTCTAGGTTTGTAATTGCCTGATTTGACTTAGCATAATGTCCTCAAGGTTCATCTATGTTATAGCACATGCCAGAATTTCCTTCCTTCTTCATTCCATGTATATACCACATTTTGTTTATCTATCTATCTACTGATGGACATGGAAATATAAAACAATGGTTTTAATTTCTCTAAATCCACACCAACACTCATTGTTTTTTTTTTTAGCAAGTCATCATAATGGGTATGTATCTCATTGTGGTTTTGATTTATATTTGTCTAATGATTAGTGTTGTTGAGCATTTTTTATTTCCTTATTGGCCATTTCTATGTCTTTTTTTTTTTAAGAAATGTCTATTCGGGCTGGGGATGTGGCTCAAGCGGTAGCGTGCTCGCCTGGCATGCGTGCAGCCCGGGTTCGATCCTCAGCACCACATACCAACAAGGATGTTGTGTCCGCCGAGAACTAAAATAAATAAATAAATAAATTCTCTCTCTCTCTCTCTCTCTCTCTCTCTCTCTCTCTCTCCCCCTCTCATCTCTCTTTAAAAAAAAAAAAAAAGAAATGTCTATTCAAGTTCTTTGTTGATTTTTAAAAATCTGGTTGTTATTGTTGAATTGTAGTTCTTCTTAACTTTCTTAACATTTTTGGATAAATTCCCTTATCAGATATATGATTTATAAATATTTTCTCTTATTTTGTTGATTGCCTTTTCACTTTGTTGATGGTTTCCTTTGAGCCACAAAAGTTTTATTTTGATGAAGTTCAATTTCTCTATTCTTCTTTTGTTGACTATGCTTTCAGTATCATATTCATCTAAGAAATTCCTGCTAAATTGAATGTCAAGAAGCATTTCTCCTGTTTCTTCTAAGAATATCATAGTTTTGGGTTTTACATTTGGTCTTTAATACATTTTGAGTTAATTGTACATGGTGTTAGGTTGGGATCTAACTTAATTCTTTTCAAGTGGAATGTAGTTTTCCCAGAACCATTTGTTGAAAAGACTGTCCTTTCTCCATTAAATGATCTTGGCACCCTCGTTGAAAATAATCTGATCATTTAGGCAAAGGTTTATTTATGTGCTCTCTATTCTATTCCATTGTTCTGTATGTCTGTCTGTATGCTAATACTACATTGTTTTGATTACTGTAGCATGGTAGTATGTTTTGAAGTTAAGAAGCACCAAGTCCTTCAATTTCTTCTTGTTCAAAATGGTCTTGGCCATTTTGGGGGTCCCTTGAGTTTCCATATGAAATTTTTTTGGGGGTACCTTGGATTAAACCCAGGGACGCTTAACCACTAAGCCACATCCCCAGACTTTCTAAAAATAGTTTATTAGAGACAAGGTCTCACTGAGTTGCTTAGGGCCTTACTAAGTTGCTGAGGCTGGCTTTGAACTCACAATCCTCCTGCCTCAGCCTCCTGAGCTGCTGGTCCACATGAATTTTAGTATGAATTTTTCTATTTTTGCAAAAAAAAAAAATCTCGTGGCCCTTTTATTTTGGCTTTTTTTTTTTTTTTTTGTACTGGGGATGGAACCCAGAGGTACTTTACCACTGAGATACATCTCCAGCCCTTTTCATTTTTTAAAATTTGAGATAGGGTCTTAGTAAGTTGCTTAGGACCTCACTAAATTGCAGAGGCTGGCCTTGAACTTGGATCCTCCTGCCTCAGCTTTAAGCTGCTGGCACTATAGGCTTGTATGATCACACTCAGCTTCTTCTTGTGGCCTTTTAATAGGTATTATATTCAATCTGTTGATAAGTTTGGGTTGTACTGATATCTTAACAATGTTACATGTTCAAATCTATAAATATGAGATGTCTTTCCATTTATTTCTGTATTCTTTAATTTTTTTTCATCAAGGTCTTGTCATTTTCAGTGTACAGATCTTTTACTTCTTTAGTTAATATTTATTTAAAATATTTTATTCTTTTTGACACTATTGTAAATGGAAGTGTTTTCTTAATTTCCCATTTGAATTGTTTATTGTTAATGTATAGACATGACTTGTGTTGATTTTTGTCTTATAACTACTAAGTTTATTAGTTCAATCAATATTTTTGTGTATATGAAAACTTTCAAGTTTTCTTCATATAAGATCACAGATGAATAGAGATCATTTTAATTCTTCCTTGATTATTTGGATGTGATTTATTTATTTTTCTTGCCTACTTGCTCAAACTGGACCTTTGAATACTATATAGAATAGAAATCTATTTTGTCTGTTTTGACTGTATTTTTTTTTAACTTTTATTCACTTGGTTTACTGGTATGTCTTCTTATACTTTTTCAATGTTAAATACAATGTAAAAAGAATTGTAGGGGCTGGGATGAAGCTCAGTGGCAAAGCATCTGCCTTGCATTTGCAAAGCCCTGGGTTCAATTTCTGGATGGTATTATTTTTCTCCACAGACAACTTACTTTATTTTGGCAGTCAGATCATCTCAAGCAGATTACCTTAGTCTAATCAGGGGTTCAAAAGGTTTTGTTTAAGGCTTTGTGTTTAAGACCTTCTAAGAATTGGTCTATTTGTGATTTTTCCTTACCCCAGTGTACTGCCCTCTCCTCAAAGCTTTCACCCAGAATCCAGAGGTGTTCATCCCAGTCCCTTCCACATAAGACGATCATGAATTGCAATTTTCCTCCCTTCCATAAACTCTCTGCATATTTTCTTGGCTCCTTATTTCAGTCTTAAACAAAGCTTAAGAATTAGTATATGCCTAAAAGGGAAATTGCACGAGGAATGGTAAATTTATTTCTTTGAGGTCGACAGTTTTGGCTTCTCAAATCCTGGCTTTCATAATTATGCTCTGAAGCTTTCTTCACCTTTATTTTTAAAATTCAGACATTGTATTAATTCTCAGTAAGAGGATTAACCCAATACAAGCTATTTCATTATAGCTGGAAGCTGAAAGTCTCCTTTTACTTGTGGCATACTGTATTATAATTCTACCATTCTTGTTCATACATAATATGTTCCTTTTAATTTTTCTGTCAAACAAATTGTGCTATAAAGAACACTTCTAGGGCTGGGGATGTGGCTCAAGCGGTAGCACGCTCGCCTGGCATGCGTGCGGCCCGGGTTCGATCCTCAGCACCACATACAAACAAAGATGTTGTGTCCGCCAAAAACTAAAAAATAAACATTAAAAATTCTCTCTCTCTCTCTCTAAAAAAAAAAAAGAACACTTCTATAAATGTCATGTAGGATAGATTCCTAGAAGTAAGGATTGTTGACTAAAGGTAGCTATATTAAACTATTTTATAGTTAATGCTAATCTGCCTCTGATTTGTACTACTACCAAGAATGTTGGGAATGTCCATGCTGCCACACAGTCATTATAACTGGATATTACCAATGTTAACTTTTATAAAACTGATGGCAACAAATAATAGTGTTTTTTTGTTTTATTTTAAATTTTCCAAATCATTAGTGAGATTGAAGCTGTGATAACTTTAAAAATCTTTAAAAATATAAGTACTAGGAAAGGAGAAACAGTGATTGAGAGATAAAATGTAAGATCAGGAGGATAAACAAATACACACAGAGTAAATGAAAGTCATGGCATTTATAAATATTGTATATGTGAACTATTCAATAAATAGTGCTGTAATAAATGGTTAATTATTTTTTGGGGGGGTACCAGGCATTGAACAAGTTAAAACTCTAGCCTAAGAGTTAAATGTAAAATTGTAATCAAACCATAACTAAGAGAAAATGTAGTGAAAATGTAGCTGACTTAGTGAGAAGCTGATCTCTAAGTGTAAAAGGAAAGAAAKAAAACAAAAAGAAGAAAATTTTAATACATAAAAACATAAAATTTTATATTTCAAAAGCAAACACAAAATTAAAAGGCAAATGATAAAAGAACAAAATACAGTGATAACATGTGGAAGACAGTGTCTGCATCTCTAGTATGTACATGTATTTGTGTGTGTGTTCCTATATATATAAAATGCATAGAAATCAGAAACTGACAGTTGTACAGTAGAAAAAAGCCAAAAGAATATAAATAGACAATTTTCAAAATAAATCAAAAAAAGACTAATTTATGAAAACATGTTAATCCACCATAGGTCCAGAAATTTAAAGAAATTATGCTAACACAAGTAGGAAACTGGAGTACAGGTACTTCCCAAAATGTTAACAGGGTTTGTCATATATTGTTATATTGTAAAAACAGAAGGCAAAATCTATTTTTATGTCAAAATTTTTCTAAAAGCAAGTGTGCTTTATTTTATAAAAGCATATTGGAATCAGGTAAGGTGACACATGCCTGTAATCCGAATAGCTTGGGAGGCTGAAGCAGGAGGATTGTGAGTTCAAAGCCAGCCTCACCATCATAGCAAGGCCCTAAGCAACTCAGCAAGATCCTATCTCTAAATATATATATATATATATGGATGGGGATGTAGTTCAGTGGTTAAGCACCCCTGGGTTCAATCCCCAGTACTCCCCCCACTAAAAAAAACTTATTGGAAACTAGTACACCAAAATAAAACAGCAACTTCCTTAGAGTAGTGTAATAATAAGTGGAATAAGTGGTTTTTATCTCTTTCCTTTGTGCTTTTCTCCAGTTTTTTCCCCAGTTTCCAGATGTACATATCATTTCTCTATTCCCCAGTTTCCAGATGTACATATCATCTGGAAATTAGATAGCTTACAACTTATGAAAATGAACAGAACCAGAATACCATATCTATTCTGATGAAACTAGGAGATACATTCGTAATTCTAGAAGGAGTGGAAAATATATCTGATAAAATCGATGTATTTGAATTTAAAGATTTGCAAAAAAAGGCAAGAAAATAAAAGGAAAGTAACAAACTAGGAAATATATATGTTACAAATCTCACTGATATTTGGGCTGGGAATGTAGCTCAGTGGTAGAGTGTTTGTTTTTCATGTGGGAGGTCCTAGGTTCAATCCCTAGCTCCACAATAGATCAACAAACAAACAATCTCAATGTTCAAAATGAGTATTATGGGGCTAAAACCAAAATCAAGGTTTTACCAGGGCTGATTCCTTTTGGAGATTCTAGGGAAAAAACCATTCCTTGCCTCTTCCAACTTCTAAAGGATGTGGGAATGTACATGTATTTATCTTTGGGTTATAGCCTTATCACACTAATCTCTTGCTCTGTAGTCACATCTCATACTTCTGTAGTCTGATAGCCCTCTGAATGTGTCTTATAAGGACATTGTGATTACACTTAAGGTTCAACTGAGTAATCCAGAATAATATTTCCATCTGGAGCTGTTTAATTTAATTATGCCTGCAAAGTTCCTTTTGCCATATTAGGTAATGTACATAGGTCCTAGGGATCAGTACCTGGATATCTTTGAGGGTCATTCTGTAGTCTTCCACAAATGTAGTTTAGAAATTTTTATATCCTTTTTATTGGTGCTAGACATTGGACATATTAGATATTCACTCTGCTACTGAGGTATCCCCCTAACTTCCATATATTTTAAAAACTAACAATATAGTAGTTTATTGAATTTGAAAAGTAAGTCACTATGTTTAATATTTAAATTAAATAAAAATAAGTACCAATAAAAAGTAAGTATCAGATTAGGGAATTTTAAAAATATTATCAACTAGTTCATTACATAACAAAGTATAAAAGACCTAAAAATAATTTTCTTAGTTATTCTTCTTATGAAATTCATATGTATTTGAAACAGAAATATAGATACCAGGAAAGAGAACAGGTTAATTGAATACACACTTGGAATAAAGATATAATGTTGTCTGAAAGCAGTCATGCCCTACATACCAAAGGATATCTAAAATTATCACACCTGCTCAAAAAAGAATTAGAAACTCGGACTCCAGATACTTTAAATTCTTCCTCAGATCCAGTTTAATAAAGCAGTACAAGGTCAAGATTGGAAAAAAAACAGAAGGAAATAAGCCTGTATTGAGTAATGCTTTGGTTCTGGCAGGTTGGTCAATATCCTTACCTAGACTGGAATAAATATGGCTGAGAATACGAGCTGGTTGTACTCTGATGGGGTACACCTCAGCAATGGTCTCCACATCAATTCCGTTGTCCTTCAAAATGGCCTTGATTTCTTCTGTTTCAGCGAGAATGGAGACTATAGAAAAGAAAGATGAGATCAATAGACAGTTTCATTTCAATAGGAATGTAAAAATCCCCATGGCACATAATTTCTTTTGGAGGTAAAAAAAGGAAGGAGAGTAAATTAACAGTTATGGAGGAAATAGGTGAAGCAGGTATCATCCTAGGTACTTTAGCAATATTACCTAAATAGGAAAGGGAAAAGATGACTAGAGTATTAGATTGTGCTTTTTGGCTAACTACCCAAGTGCTTAGAGAACGACACACTTTGTATTCAAATGGGAAAAATTCATCATGGGGGTTTTTCTTTATAGCTTTGGTAAAAATTGATTCCCCACACTACCCACACTCTTTTGTATCAGTACACTTAAGGTCAGAGCCAGGAATGTGAGGGTTATAAAGAACATCCTGATAACAAGTTTTCCTATAGCTATAGAATGAAAGAAAGCTATATGAATTGGGGATAAAGACTTAGTCATCAACATACAGGAGGTATTATAGTTGTGGATTTGTGGGAGGAGGGGTTAGTAATGATAGCAATGACATTTCTCTAGACCCAGAGCCTGCCAAGCCTGGAAAATTCCCTTTTTTTTCCATTAACACCAATGTCCCTGAAGTAGTAAGCCTATCCACAAGGCAAGAGGCCAGGTCAACTCCCTGATTCTTCCCAACTTGAAGTGAAGTGAAGCTTCAGCTGGCTTGAAACATGCCCTCTTCTTCTGCTCCCCTAGTACTGTTAGATGTGTTCCACTTAGTTCACAGGGGAAAAACATACCAGTTGGTGAATTCCAGCTTAATAATATTTTCTTTTGAGCTTTGGGCAAATGCCTGGTAAACAAAATGCTACTTTGTTTTCCTTTGCCATTATCCTTTGTGTATTTTTGTATCTTGGCAACCTCATGCTAATAGGTTGCTGAGATCTGGGCTAGGATATGTAGGACATGGTGATTAAAGAGTCCCTTGAACATAACATCATCTTGATCACTTCTAAATGGAAAACATAAAAATGAAAGAGAAACATGTACAGAGGAAAATGATAACAGCTAATAACAGTCTAGGAAAATACATGTATTCAAATATTTGTTCATTAAAAAATACTTACTAACTACCTAAATGAATGAGGTGTGGAGCTGGTGATATAGCTCAGTTGGTAGAGTGCTTGCCTAACATGCACAAGGCCCTGGGTTCAATCCCTAGCACCAGAGAGAGAGAGAGAGAGAGAGAGAGAGAGAGAGAGATGACATGGGAGGATATATAGAGAAGAGGACCCAGAATATAAACTTGAGAGATTCTGACATATATAAAGAATGGAAGGATAGAAAATCCTGGGATGGTTGGGCATGATGGCATACAGCTGTAATTCCAGCTACTTGGGAGCCTGAGGCAGGAGGATTATGAGTTCAAAGCCAGCCTCAGCAAAAGTGAGGTGCTAAGCAACTCAGTGAGATCCTGTCTCTAAATAAAATACAAAATATGGCTGGGGATGTGGCTCAGTGGTTAAACACCCCTGGGTTCAATACATGGTACCAAGGAAGGAAGGAAGGAAGGAAGGAAGGAAGTAAAGTCTGGAGTGGGGGATTCTCATCTCATGGCTTGTATTTTCTCAGTGGCATAGCAGGTAAGGTCATCTTCTGAAAATGAGGGAAGAAGTAAGGAGGTGAAAAAGGGGAAAAGTTTGGAATAGGAAGAAGCTGAGAGACAGGAACAAATATTAAGAGTAAGAAGATCAGTACCCTGATGACAGACTCAAGAATGCCAATAGTTAAAGGGCAAGTATAGGAGCAGGAAAACTTGAATGGACAGAAAAGCACTTAATATAGCTTAAAGAAAATCCAAGAGACCATGACATCATAGAAGAGATGAAAATCCAGCATTTCCAGAAATACAAATAATAAATGAAACTGGAAGATCCATTAAGATATGGATTAAAAATATTCCCAAAATTGGCAACACAAAGGTCACTGGTATCTTAAGCAAGAACATGTTCAGAATAAACTAGTCTATAAAGTACTGCAGAATGAATGGAATATAAAAAGGAATAAGTGCAGATGAGAAAGGAAGAAACTAGAGGGAGATAAAACACATCAAATGACTGAAAAACAGAAGAAACAGTGGGAGAGTTTGAAGATACTGGAAAATAGTAAGTTTCTTGAGGATGCTGGGGAAGAGGATAAAATCAAGCATCAGAAGGGGGCCTCGGCTTTGAATAGAAGAATAACACCTTTTTTCTGAGATTAGAGAAAAGGAAGCAAGGATGGGTAAAATTGTTGAGGTGGGGAGGGTTGGAGGACTGACAAAGATCAGAATATTAAGTATCTGGAGACATTTAAAGGGAGGTTCACAGCAGTACTCAATACCATATTAATGCATAGTGATGTTGGAAAGTCAAGAATCACCTCAAGCTTTCTACCCTAGGAAATGAGGACATTGGTAATGTCATTGAAAGTGATAAGGAAAATAGAAAGATTTGTTTTTCTTGGGAGAGGTAAAAGGATGGGATAAAAACAGAAGATATCAGTTTTGTATTTGAAGTGTAAGTGATAGAGAAGTTTTTTAGGTACTGGAACATAAATTTTTTAATATGTTTATAACTTAGCTCAGTGTTTTGTATGAAATAGATACCTACAAATTTAAGTTGATTTATTTAGCAGTAAAAATAAAAGTTAGGCGTACCCTCCAAGGAGGTAATGGTCAGAAGCAACCTTATTATGAAGTAGGTAGTCCCAGCAAATTAACACACAGTATATGTACACATAGAAAGATGAGAGTATGAGATTAAGTACAGAAACAATAGGAGAACATGAAAAGAAAGGAGTATTAGCAGATAAAGCACAGAGAAGGTAATTAGAAAGGAAGCAGAGATAAATAGGAGGCTGAAATATTGTGACAATGAAAAGAGTTTCCAGAAATAAAAAGCATCAAATAATATTTTGAGTCCTCTGACATCACACATTATTCATTTAGGATTAATATTAACAGTAAGTTTTGAACCAATCAGAACCAAGATCATCATATACTTTTTGAAATCTAACAAATGCAAGATGAAGAAAAAAGTCATAATTTACTGGCCCCAAGGTCTCTGTCCCTAACCACACCTTGAATATAAAGTTTTGCTATTGGGAATAGGAATACACACCTTGAACCACAACATCTGGCTTTGGTACAGTAGAAAATCTACGATTCAGGGGATCAATTTCTCCAGGAGCTAAAAATCCCTAAAAAAATCAGAAAGATTATTAGAATGTCTCTAAATCAAAAACAAATAAGCTAATGTTTTAGGGAAAACAACATCATCAGAAATAAAATAAATAAACTTCTTGTATGAATATGTTTGAACTCCCATAATTCACATCCAAATTAATTTTATTTGAAGTTTATTCCTAGTGGTGCCCACAAATCCTTCTCTTGGAAGTAGGCAGGGTATAAATTCTAAATGAACAGAAAGTTTCAGATTACTCCTCTTCTTTCTCTAGATATACATATAATGACACATATTTAGATGATCAGACTCCAGTGTTTATTATGAATATTTTAGTCATTAGTCCTGCTGTTTCTGCACTTTTTTTCCTGCTTTCTGCTCATTGGAAATCTCGTTTTCCAGTTCTGGGGATCAAACCTAGGACCTCTACAACTGACCTACATCCTCAGACTTTTAAAATTTTTATTTTATGTTTTTGTGGTGCTGGGGATTTGAACCTAGGGTCTTGTGCATATGAGGCAAGCACTCTACCAGCTGAGCTATATCCCCAACCCTAAAATTTTATTTTGAGTCAGAGTCTCACTAAATTGTTCAGGCTGGCTCAAATTTATGACCCTCCTGCCTCAGCCTCCCAAGTCGCTGGGATCACAGCTATGCTGCACTGTGTCTGAGTATCAGAAATCGTTTGACTTAACTTGAGTTTCTGTCCTTTATGAACTGTGATGAACTCACCTATTTTATTCTTAAGCATACCACTTATCTCCTCCTGTTTTCATTACATATAATTTATTCTAATTGAATGATAAGTTTACCAGGCATGGATTACTTTAAACAAAACATTCTTCCCATTATTTGCTCTATTCATGTTCATGTCAACTAAAGATAATCAAACAGCCATGGTCACCAAAAAAAAAACACAAACAAACAAAAACATCTCAGAAAAGAAATAATCATATATAAATAGGTCAAAGAGTCTGGCTCAGAAAGGACAGCTTAGGGGGATGGGGTTGTGGCTCAGTGGTAGACCGCTCACCTAGCATGCTTGAGGCACTGGGTTCAATCCTCAGCACCACATAAAAATGAAATAAAGATATTGTATGTCCACCTACAACTAAAAAATAAATATTAAAAAAAGAAAGGACAGCTAGTCCCAGAGCAGATTCTCTAGGAGCCTGGTTATATATCACATCAAAATAACCTACAATGGGGAAATATATTTGCTAGTAAATCTGGAAAACTTTGGAGAAAGAAATCCCTTTGTGTAGGTTCAAAATGCTACAAAGAAGCTGAATACAAAGTCAGAAGTGCTTCATTAAAGGCTGCCTCAATAGAATTTGATGTGCGGAACATTTCAAGAGTCCCTTACAAAAAAAAAAAAAAAAAAAAACAGAAAACTGAAAACAACCAAACAAAAAGTCCATAGTGTTCTACCCAGTTGTCAGGGTGCTAAAATGATTAGTTCAATTAAAGAAAGAAACATTATGTTGCTTAGAAAGGTTAGCACTTAATCCACTGTCAGTAATTACTATCTAAGGACAATTGCATTTATTAGTCACCAGGCAAGGCACCTAGGAGTTCTGAATAGAAAAAATCCTGGGCTTGATCCTTTAGCATCTCCAAGTACAATGCCAAAGTAGAAAGCCCTGGGTGGCATAAGGAAAATGGTTGCCAAGGAGTACAAGATTTTCATCAAGGGCTGACTGTGCTTCTTACTCTGAAAACTTGGAAGAAAAACTATAATTAAGGCACACTATAAAAGGCAAGACATCCTTCAGATTTAATGAGCCACTCACAAATCTGATTATTAAGGTGACTAAGGCAGAAAAAGCCTGAGTAGCTTAAAGTTTCCCCTTACCTCTGCCATCAAGCTTCCTAAAATGTATAAAGACTGACCCCACATATGAGGCAACTTCCCCATGGGTACTCGGTCCACAGTGTGAGGATTTTGATATTCTTCATCAACCTAAATGAAAACACAAAGAGGCCAGATGAGAGGTAATACAACGCTTATGCTACTAGACCATAAAAGGCTGAGTCTCGATTTTGGTTTTACATAGTAACATAGGCAATGCACTGATAAGTGAAGCATTATAACAACAGTCTAGGGCAGTGCTTGCTCCACAAACTGTAATTACCAGAAGAGCTAATTCAAATGGAGATTCTGGTTGAGGTGTGAGGGAGGGAATGACATCTATTTTTGAAAAGACTCAGGTGATGCTGCTGATATTGCTAGGAGCTTATTCTTCCTTCCAATCCCAACAGAATGCAAGGTTGTATATCTCTTACAATCAGGGCTCTTTAACAAAGAGGAACAATGGTATACCTGATTTGTTTTTTGGGAAAATGAAGATAGGACATACTTTGTTATCCAAGCCTGATCTACTCAAATGATCCTGGATTATTGGTCTCAAAGTGGAGAATATCAAAACCTGAGAGTGCACACAGAACATCACGCTAGTCCTACCTACTGATCTCTATGTCATCCTCAGCATTACGGTTTGGTCTCATCCTATCTCCCTGTATAGTAGTGCCATGATTGAGACTCCTTTACCAATTTATTTCTAAAGGAATAAAATCATATTTCTATTGTCTTATACCTAAAGAAAAACTTATTGAACATTAAAATCAGAAGATAAGCAATTATTTGATGCAAATGAAGCAGTCCTATTGAATTATGCTTCCTCTTCAATCAGTGTTATAGCATTTTCCAACTCACCCTGTCAGGAGGAACACTGTACAGCTCTGGCAGAAGTGGGACTCCATTTTTGCCCTTGATGAGGACTGCTTCAAGAGCCTCTCTATACTCTTGAACCTACAGAGAAAAGAAAGGCAGACAGTTCTTGTAGGTACTATTTTAAAGCAGCTTATTTAACCAGGTAAAAGGGAAACAAAGGGGAATGGTAGTAGATACTTGTTATAGGCCAAATATTATTTTAGGACTTTGTATACTTTAATGTATTTAATTTCAATAATAGTAGGCATGTGTGATTGAAGCCATCTTACAGGGAAATGCAGGCTCAGAGAGGTTCTGAATTTGTGGAAGATCACAGGGCATGAAAATGGTTGAGTCCAGAGTTCAACCCTAGTCAGCCTTCTTCCAAAGTCCTGCTTGATTCCATGTGTAGTACTTCAAGTACACCTCCTTGATTTTAGGATGGGTTGGACTTTAAAACTGCATTTTCCTGTGTCAAATTTGTTTTCTAGTATGATTAGTTTTATTCCTTTGCTTAGTAATTTGTTGAAGCCTAGCAATACATAAGATGTAAAAAATAAAAACAAATACAAACAAACAAATAAGGGCTGGGGGTATAGCTCAGTGACAGAGCACATGCCTAGCATGCATAAGGCCCTGGGTTTGATTCCTGGTACTGAAAAATAAAGTTAGAAAACCCTATAATTTATGATAGAAAAATGTACAATCAGTTATTCTATAACATTTGTTTTGAAAACAAATTTGTTCTGATGAATTGGATAATTTAGCAGAACATAAATTTCATGTTTGCTTATATATGATTTCATCCCAAGAATGCATTCAGCTGCTTAAGAATACACAAAACACACACAGGCACATACCTCAGGAGGACAGTGAACTGTATCCATCCAGATATGCTGTTATAAATTTCTATCCCATTTCAGATAACCCTTCTTTTACCACTTCATAACTTACAAACTGTAACCCTTTGATGGTCAACCTGGCCACATGGCTGTGGGTATTCCCTACTCTTCTCTCTTTTTAAATTTTTCTTCTTTGTTCTATGTTCTTTTTCTCTAATTTCTCTCATTATTTTCTTGTATTTTTGCATCTCAATTATACAGAATGATAGGTTTCATTGTGGTATATTTGCACATATACTAAAACACAATCTAATCAATTTTACTCCCCAATACTGCTTCCACCATCTTTTTCTTCTTCCCCTCTAGATCTCCTCTCTCCACTCTACTGTTCACCCTCTACTTTCATGGCATCCCCCTTTTCCACTCCAGTCCATTTCTGTTTTTATCTCTGAGAAAAACTGATTGTACCTTGAATTTACAACATGTCTCTATCTGTGAAATTCAAAGAACTCCAGGGATATCTTTTTTAAAAAAATATTATTTGATCTGGGCATGGTGGCATACACCTATAGTCTCAGCAACTTGAGAGGCTAAGGGAGGAGGATTGCAAGTGTAGCCCAGCCTGGGCAAATCAGGGAGACTCTGTGTCAAAGAAAACTTTTTAAAAGGTTAGAGATGAACAGATTGGAAAAAAAAGGCTGGAGATGAAGCTCAGTGGTGGAGCATGTATATACAGTGTGCAAAATCCTGGGTTTAATCCCTAGTAGTATAAAATCATAATCTTAATTGTACATATTTATGGGATTCAGTGTAGTAATTTGATCCATAGACACAGTGTGTAAGAATCAATTTGATTAGTTAATCAATTAGGATAGTTACATTTCCATCTTTTTAATAATTTATTATGAGAGAAAAACTGTTCTGATGTRCAGAGAAATGAAAGAAGTCAATAACAATATTTGGGCTATTCAGTGGTCAAAATTGAGGCAAAACAAATAGAATTTAGGTCTCCCAATTCTTATCTTAGTACCCTCAGCTACTAGTCTGTAGGGGACATCTCTGTCTCCTTTGAAGACTTCAATTTGAACACAAAATTGGTATAACCATTAACTGAAAGAGCAWGATATAACAAGACCAGTTTGCTGAAAACTCCTTCCCCAAACTCATTACCYGTTCAGTATTTCCACTGAAGACCCCATCAAGGATAAAATATGTCCAGAACAATGGCCATTCACRCTCAATGTTTTCAAACAACTTCAGCTCAGCTGGTTCATAGTACAAACGATTGGGATCCTRGTAAAAATACAATAAACATTCTGTCTTATCACTCAGAGATTAGATGTACATCTTTTGTTCAGAGGTATTATTATTATTATGGCCTTTCCCTACATATAGTTTTATTCAGAAAAGTCAGTCAGTATTTAGTACTGTATGAGGTGATTATAACTAGTGAAAGTGGGATAATAAGGACTTCACAGGAGGGTATATGAAGAAGTAAGTTTAGCTTGCAATGAAGTTTCATTTGGTTTTATTCTTGCTAAATTTGAGTTAGTAATAGGATGTACAAATAGGAATGCTTACCAGGGCAGCTAGAGATGAGGGTTTGGGAATCATCCTCATAGAAATGATACATGAATTACCAGTTATAGATGAACTTAGTGAAAAAGTACTATATAAAATGAGCAAACTGCCCCCAAATGGAATCCTCACAAATCTTCAGAGTGGGGTGACAGAAGGACAGAAAGAAGACTCAGGAGAGTATAGTGTGAAAATTAAAATAGGAAAAGAATTTCAAGAAAATGTAGGAGTAGGTAATAGTGATACAAAATGAAGAAGTCAAGGAGAATAAGGATTGAGAAAAAGCTATTGGATCAGTCACTTAGAAGCTTATGATGATGTTTTAGGGCATAATTTTAGTATACTGGTGGGGGCAACAGTCAAATTCAATGCTAAGGAATAAAGTGAAAAAGAGGAAGTAAGCCAGAAAAGTTTGAGCTTGATTTAAAAGATCACAATGGCCCTTGACCATCTCACCTAAGTCTTAAACAATATTTGCATTACCAATGAAAATGTTTATTATTGACCATTAATTCTCTTTAGTAGTCAGGTGTAGTGATAAATGCCTGTAACCCTAGTTATTTGGAAGACTGAGGTGGGAGGATTACAAATTCCAGATTAGCCTGGGCAAATTAGCTAGACTGTCTTCAATAAATAAATAAGGGCTGGAGATGTAGCCCAGTGGTAAAGCACCTTTGGGTTCAATCTCCAGGAACAAAAAACACTTTTTATTTATTTAATTTTCCCCGTGGATATTTCCAAGAAAAAATTTGTCTATGAGGAAAAAAAAGGAATTTAACCTTTTCAAGATTGAGTACTGTTTAGAACTAACCAACTAAAAAAACTTGCAAAGGGTTGCTATAATTTGGATTTGGTTTGAGTATGTTCCCCAAGGGTCCATGTGTTGAAATTTAATCTGCACTGTTAGCTATTAAGAGGGCAGAAACTTAATCCAACTATGGTGTTTAGAGGTGAGGCCTGGGAGAGGGGATTGGGATTCAATAAGATTATTAGGGTGGAGCCCTCATGAATGAATACTGATGGCTTTATTAAAAGAGAGAGAGAGAGTGACCAGAAGAGACACACAGACATGCTCATGCTCCCTAGCTTTTGCCACATGATGCCCTGTACCACCTTAGGACTCTACCAACAAGAAGGCCATCACTAGGTATGAACCCTTGAACTCATATCTCCAGAACTGTGAGCCAAAATAAATAAAACACTTTTCTATATAACTCACCCATTCTGTGTATTATGTTATTGGCAGCAGAAAATGGATGAAGACAAGGGACCAGAAAGATGTACCGATGGCAAGATTTTTTTCTTTGTAATTTTAAAATATCGGGGGGGGGGAGATACTCATGAGATTATGCAAATTTTCTGGTTTTGCTTAAACTTTTGCCCACTGATTTTTAACATTCATCAGTAATTCTTTCCTGAAATTAACTAACTGCAAGAGTTTTCTTTCTTTTTATCTAATCCAGAATGGCTCCCAAACTGAGAACATAGCAGTGAAGCCCAACAAATACAGCAAACACCAGGTATTATTTTCCTATTTAGTGATTTACGTAAGCACCAACAATGACATAAATATTCTCTCTGAATGATGTTGCAGATAGCAGTGACCCTTTTCCCATATGTTCATTTGTGGGAAAAGAAACCTACTTCTTTAGGAGTTTTATATCCATCTCGTAGGAATCGACAGCAACCATAACGACCCTGGGGAGATAGATCAAAAATCTCAGAAGCTTATACATTGGTACATCAATATAAATAGTCAGAAATATATATTTGGTAAAATCTATCTGTGCAGTTTCTCACCAATACAGACCTGATAGCTAAAAACAAAAACAAAAAACCTGAAATCTGCTCAGCAGCAGAAACTGATTTCCAGCAATGTGATTTCAAGTGAGGGCTAAGTTACAGGTTCTTCCTTAGATCAGCATTACTAACAATATCCACCTTAGGGTAAGTCTGACAGCCTAATTACTAATCTATATGGTCCTGCCAATATCTCACAGAGCTTATGAGAGACCACAGGGTTTAAAAAACATATTTTTAAATTTGAGAAGTTACAAATACTGTACAGTGTACCAATATATCCATCAATCACCATAATCTTATATTAACATCTTACATAATCATAGAACATTTATCAGAACTAAAACATTAACTTTGGTACAATACTATTAACCAAAGTACAGAAGTTAAATGGTTTTCACCAGTTATTCTACTAATGCTCTTTTTGTGTGTGTGTTTGTTCCAGAACCAAATTCTGAATCCCACACTGCTTTTAGTTGCCCTGCGTCCTTAGTCTCTTCCACTCTATGACAGTTCTTCAGCCTTTCTTTGTTTTTTATGACCTTGATACTTTTAAAGAGTATTCATGAGTTATTTTGTATAATGTCCCACATTTAGTTTTGTCTGCTTTTTCTCATAATGCAATTTAGGTTATTTATTACTGGAGGATACCACACAATTGATGTGCCCTTTTCAGTGCATTATAGAAGGGGGCATGTGATGTCAATATGTCCTATTAGTGGTGAAGTTCCCCTAGTGGTATCTGCTAGGTTTCTTCACTATAGTTTTCCCATTGTAAATATTAGATATTAGATATTTGGAGGGAGACACTTTGAGACTATACAAATATTCTCTCTCTGCTTAATCTTTCATCCACAGATTTTAGCACCCATCAGTGGGTCACTCCTGAAACAATTATATTTTAGTGTTTACCTAATGGTAATTTTATATTTCCTTTATTTCTTCAATATGTTTTTGTGTGTACAGTAAACATTTACTTAATATTTGATAATGAATTATTCTTAGTTGCTTAAACATTTCATATAAGCTATGACCCCTTGGCATTAATACTATTTAAAAATAATTTTAAAAATTTTTATTGGTGAATAATAATTATACAGAACAGCAGATTTTATTGTGGCACATTTGTACATGCATATAACATGATTAATAACATTCCCCAATATGTCCACTGCTCTCTCTCTTGATCCCCCTGCCTCCCTACCTATACACTAATGGTTTCATATAGAGTCATGTTTCTACTAGCATAGTCTATAAAGAACCATTCCATCATCCTCAAAATAATGCAGAGCTCCTCCCCCACCTTTCTTTTTCTTTTTTCTCCATAACTTCCACATATGACAGGTGGGTATCTCATGAAAATCAAAGGGAAACTAGAAGAGTAGAGGAAAGGGACCACAGAGGGAAATGGGAAATACTACAGGATGATATTGACTGCTATGGTTTGGATGTGAGGTGTGCCCCAAAAGCTCACGTGTGAAACAATGTAAGAAGGTTTAGAGATTACATGATTTGATTCTGAAAGCCTTAACCTGATCAGTGTGTTAATTTCCTAATAGGACTGAGTGTTAACTGAATGTGGGTAGGGTATGCCTGGAGGAGATGGGGCATTGGGGGTATGCCTTTGGGGTATAGATATTGTATCTGGCGAGTGGAGTCTCTTTGCTTCCTGATCAGCATGTGAGCTGTTTCCCTCTGACACACTCTTCCACCACTATGTTCTGCCTCACCTGAAGCCCTGGAAAATGGAGCTGACTGTCTATGGACTGAGACCTCTGAAAACATGAGCCCTCAAATAAATTTTTCCTCCCTTACAACTGTTCTGGTCAGGGTCTTTTAGTCACAGCAGTGAAAAAGCTGACTAAAACATTGACCAAATTATATTGTTATATTGTGTGTATGTATGAATATGTAACAACAAACCCACCATTATGTATAATTATAAGGTATAAATTTAAAAATCTTATTGTTAAAATTAAACAAAATTCCAGAGCTATATCTTTTTAAWTTTTTTTTAGTTGTATTTGGAAACAATACCATTATTTTATTTATTTATTTTTATGTGGTGCTGAGGATCGAACCTAGAGCCTTGCATGTGCTAGGCAAGGGGTCTACTGCTAAGTCACAACCCAGCCCCTTTAGACTATATCTTTATAGACAACCTGTACCTCCAACTTCTGGCAACCACTAATGTTTTTTTTTCCTGTTCATTTTTCTTTTCCAGAGTACCATGTAAGTGGAATCATATAAAACATAGTCTTTGGGGTCTGGTATTTATTTCACTTAGCAAAATGCACTTAAGAATCATCCATATTGTTACATAGATCAGTATTGTTGAACAGTATTACATTGGGAGGAATTATAATTTTTTATTGCATTGAAGGTTGTTTCTAGTTCTTTTTTTGCAATTATCAGTAACACTGTTATAAACATCTGTGTGCAGATTTTTGTTAGAGAATAAATAAAATATAAAATAAAAACAAATTTTTATTTTTGTAGGGTAGCTATATAGGAAAGAAGTCATTGGATCACATGGTAGGTATATGTTTAAATTTGTAAGAAACTGCCAAACTGTTTCCCAAAGTGGATGTACCCATTCTGTATTTCCACTAGCAATAACTATAGAAACTAAAAAGCTTTTAAAGGAAACTATTAGAACAGGACAACTAAAAAAAAAAATAAAAGATTCCTTAAAATCACTGACACAGATCATGTTCAAGGCCTCCAGATGCACTATCCCCCTCAAAGTCACAGCCTCAAAAAGAAGAAAGGCAAATGTGGACATACCTGAAGCTTGGTGATTATCTCCTGTTTTGTGAGCTCCACCAACTGGCTGTCCTCGACAGCAAAGGCTGGGAAAGAAATCACTGACAACAGACTAGCATCAACTTCTTTGGATGTTGAAGCCCGGGGCAGTAGTGAATTAAGGATAGACTAAGAGGAAGAAATTCAAATATGGTACATTAGTAAATACCTTGGCATTATAAAACAGTTTTAGTTTCAAGAGATTAATGTGGAAGATCTTTCAGAAAATAACCCCAACATTATTCAATAGAGAGAGTTTAGAAAACTAGCTACTTTGGTTAAGTCATCCCTTCTCTTAATCCTGTTCTTAATAAGTCCCCATTCTATTCTTTTTTTTTTTTTTGAGAGAGAGAGAGAGAGAGAGAGAATTTTTTAATATTTATTTTTTAGTTATTGGCGGACACAACATCTTTGTTTGTATGTGGTGCTGAGGATCAAACCTGGGCCGCACGCATGCCAGGTGAGCGCGCTACCGCTTGAGCCACATCCCCAGCCCCCCATTCTATTCTTAAGGAGCTGCTTGTGTATAGAGATCACTCTAACATCCCATCCATTGTCCTATTGGTCCATTAGTAGCTATTTAAGGATAAAGTTAAGGCAAAATATAGCTGCTGAAACGCAAGATAAGGAAGGGTCAGGTCTTATGCCTCTGACATATATTTTTCCCCATGGAAAAGTTTTGTTTTTAAAATTAGAAGGCAAGCTTATATTTATTAGAACACATGAACATCTAATCAGACTTTGAAAAAAAGGATAAAATTCATCACTCCAATGAGAAAAAAACATCTAAATCTTTATTTATAATAAACTCTTTCTTTATATCCATTTGTTTCAGATGGGGCCTCACAATGTTGCCCATGTTCATCTCAAATTCATGAGTTCGCCATGAGCTCAAGTGATCCTCCCATTTCAGGTTCCTCAGTAGCTGGGAATATAGGCATGTGCCACCACACCCAGGTAAAACTTAATATTTAAAAAATGATAATAATCATACCCAAAACTGAAGATATATATTTACAACATTAACATTCTGATCTCCAAATTATCTAACCCTGGAGGTTACCAAACAAAAGACTGTTTCAGGGACACTGTGAAAAATACCCCAAAACTATTATCTCTTGTTCTCTTTATATATTTAGAAAAGGAAATTTTCAGGAATATTATAGCCTCTTGATATGATGGCAATGGAGAATTTTGTATACTAAGATAGGATCCTTTCAAAACCTTTTATAACAGAACAGGAATATTATACATTTTATAGACCATGCTATATTTGACTTATCTCAGTACACTATGCTTGATAAAGACATTTCTTGACACATGGTAATAAATCAGATGATGTACTATCCATCTGCTCTTCTTAATCTATAGCTCATGCTAAATGTGAGTCTAGGCAAGAATAAAATTTTCTATAACATGGTCCATTATTCTCTTACCTGGCAGTGTTGTACTTCATCAGCTAGGACATGAATAACAGATTGGGGCCCACCTTTTCCACCAAATAGGTCCAGTTCATCTAGTGCTTCCAGCGCTGCCTGTGCAAAGCAATGGAAGAAAGGAAACCTTCAGGGTTAGAAAGATAAATACTTCTGGGCTGGAAATATAGCTCAGTGATTCAGCACTAGCCTAGCATATGCAAAGCGCTGGGTTCAATTCCTAATACCACTATCACCAAAAACAAACAAACAAATCCCAAAAGGTTTATATTTATATTCCCTGTATCCTAGTATCTTACCAATGCATATGATGTCACTTTTAAATATGTTTGATAGAGCAGAAAATACAATAATATTTATTTTTCTTTTTCTCCCATATGGTCCCAGAGAAAGTTACAATGGAGTCTATAGCACTATCAAGTCAAGCAGCACACCAAAATAATTTGACATCATTATGTACAACTATAATGCTCAAAAAAAGTGAAAAAATAATTTGAACATAGAACATGAATTTGTAGTAAACCATTATTTTTTGGGGCAAGGATGCTCCAAGTATGATACCAGCACATAAGAAATGTTAGAAGTTGTGTGGTGTAAGATAACATAACCACCATACATATTGCTACACAGCTGAGTTTCCACACAGAAGTAACTTCCTTAGAAACATACTATAGTTGACTTTAAAATAAACATTCTTAGTCACCAAACAAAGAAGGAATTCCCATGGTTTTAATTTTTTAAGAATATTTTATTTTTTACTTATAGTTGGACACAATACCTTTATTTTATTTATTTATTTATATGTGTTGCTGAGGATCGAACCCAGTGGCTTACATGTGCTAGGCGAGTGCTCTACCACTGAGCCACAACCCCAGCCCCCCCCATGGTTTT